TAAATACTTGTCCTTAAGTATCTTTTTTGGAGATCTGGTGACATAATACTCAAGGCATCTAAGGGCTAACCAGAAGACTAGCGGTTCAATCCCACCTTGGAAGGAAGATTGGGTAATCCACTTCCATAGCGATACCACCTCAGAAACCCAAGGAGGGGTCGCTATGAGTGGAATTGACTCAATGGGAGTGATGTTTTGTTTTTTAAGTAAATTTTTAAATACAGAATTTTTCATTTGGGTCCATATCATGAACATTTGAGCTTTCTCCTTCAGAGACCTGGGAACAACCCAAGTGTCAAAATAGTTGAGAAGATATTCATAATGATGCTCAAGTGGGAAAAACTGTAAGTCATTTTTTTGTTTCAGATTTATTTTCACTTAGTTGTGGGTTGTTTAAGATTTATTTTATTATTTTGAAAGGCAGTTGATTGAGGTCTAATTATATGTATTCAAACGTCCATTTCAGTGAGTTTTGAGAAATGTGTACAGTTATGTAACCACCACTACAATCAAGATTAGAACATCTGTCACTCAAAAGGCCCCTTGTGCCCCTTTGCCGTCCATCCCCGCCTCCTACCACCAGCCCCTGGCAAACACCTGTCTAATTTCTGTCTCAGTTGTTGTGCTTTTTCCAGAGCGTCTTATCAATGAAATCCTATAGTGTGTAGCCTTTCCTATTTGGCTTCTTTCACTTAGCATCATCTTTTTGAGATTTGTCTATGTTGTTGCATCGATTATTTGTTCATTTGTTTTTCTTGTTGAGGAGTATTCCAGTTGTACGGCTGTACCACAGTTTATGCGCTCATGACTTGATGGACAGTTGGTTTATCTCTACCTTTTGGCTATTGTTGAGCAAAGCTGCTGAAAAGCATATGTTGTGTGAACATATGCTTTCATTTCTTTGAGGTAAATACCTAGAGAGGGATTTCTAAATGCATACTAACTTTATAAGAAACTGGTAAACTTTTTTGAGAGTGCCTGATGGCTTTGCATTCCCACCAGCTGTGTTTGAGTGTTGTAGATGCTCACATTTTACCTGATATTTATATTTGCCTTTTAAAAATACTAGCCTTTTCTGTATTTTTTTTGGATGGCTTTAACAAAGATACATTTATCTTCTCTCAGCTGAAGAGGCTGGACATCCGAATTCAGGGGGCCAGCTCTAGGAGGCTTTCTCTCTCTGTTGGCTCTGGGGAACGCCTTTGTCTTCTTCCTACATGTGGGGGCTCAGCGGCCCTTAGAGCTCTCCGTGTGTCTTCTCATCCGTCTTCCCTTGGGTCCAGGAGATTCTCAGTGCAGCCATCCTGGCTCTAAAGAACATGCTTCACTCCTGGTTCTTTCTTGGTGGTATCTTTTTGTGTACATTTCCAAGGGAAAAATTATATACAAAGAAGAATTTTTTAAAAAGGAGGCAGATCTGTACAAATATGTTGTTTTTTTTGTTAGGTGCCGTCGAGTCATCTCTGACTCACAGTGACCCTGTGCACAGCCGAACAAATTACTGCCCGGTCTTGTGCCAGCCTCATGATCCTTGCTATACCTGAGCCCATTCTTGTAGCCACTGTGTCTGTCCAACTCATTGAGGGCCTTCCCCTTCTTTGTTGACCAGTACAAATATATCATGCTATTAATATCTAAATACTAGAAAGTGTGTCATTACACTCATTGTGGTTTTAGTTTGCATTTCTCCAACTGCTGATGTTACTGAGTGTCTATGTGCTTATTTGCCACTTGTATCTTCTTTAATGAGATGCCTGTTCAGAACTGTTGCCATTTTTTATTGAATATTTATCTTCTTCTCATTGAGTTATCAGAGTGTTTTATATATTCTGCATACTTATTCCTTTGCACAGATAGGTGTTTCATAAATGTTTTCTCCCAGACTATGCCTTTCATTCTCTTAAAATTTTCTTCTGGAGAGACAAAGTTTTTAATTTTGATGAACTCTAATTTAGCACTTTTTTCTTAAATGGCTTGTGCTGTTTTTGTGTCTTGGTGAAGAAATGTTTATGTAACCCAATGTCACAAAGATCTTCTATTTTTTTCCCCCAGAAGTTTTATTGTTGTGTAGCTCTTCCAGCTAGGTCTGTGATCCTTTTTAATGTTCCTATATGGTATGAGGTAAGGGCTGA